ATAGCTATACTACACTGTTCAACTTTTTATCTTACTGTTCGTGCAGATATTTGTTTTAAAATAGACTACAACCTATAGCTTCTGAAAAAACTTGTGCCATCAGAATTCTGCTTTGTCATTTTGATAATCTGAGTGTATAAAGTTAATTCTTTCTTTCAAGTTAACTGTATTTTATCACTTATGATGCCCAATGATTGTCTTCTTTTTTTTTGCAGTCAAAATTTTGAGAAAGATCACATTATGGTGGATCAGAGCCTTGAGTTGTCCCATCTTTTAAATTAATCTTTAAGTCAATTCCTTTTATCCCCCTTTTATTTTGTTTCTTCCGTGGTTTTCTGTGTTTAACTACAGTCTAATCCATAAACTATGAAATAGTTTAATTTTGATTAAATTTACAATTCCTGTGTTGCTTGATCTAAGACTAACATGAAACTTATTATTCTTTATGTTTAAAAATTATTTTTCTTAACAAGCTCAGAATTAATATGATCATCTTGTTTCTATCTTGCAAGGCCCCGGTCACAGGTTCAAATCTCCATCACACCAAACATGCTCGACCTTTCAGCCGTGGGGGCATTATAATGTGACGGTCAATCCCACTATTCGTTGGTAAAAGAGTAGCCCAAGAGTTGCCGGTGGGTGGTGATGACTAGCTGCCTTCCCTCTAGTCTTTCACTGCTAAATTAGGGACGGCTAGCACAGATAGCCCTCGTGTAGCTTTGCTCCACCTTAGTTCTAGTATTCTGGTGTAACAGGTAGTGTGCACCTTAGTTCTAGTATTCTGGGGTAACATGTAGTGTGCACCTTAGTTCTAGTATTCTGGTGTAACAGGTAGTGTGCACCTTAGTTTTAGTATTCTGGGGTAACAGGTACAGCTTTTTGTCTCATAAAAATATTACATTGAGGTATAAACAGCACGACCCATCTATTTACAAGAGATTATTATTATTTCCTTAATAAGTGATGAATCACCTCAAAAAAATGCAATTCAAAAACACTAAATAAAGATTCACACATGCTTTACATATACTTTTTAATTCTGATCTATATTAACTCTAGTATTTTGGTGCAACTTGTAAATCAATATTTTTTTCTTTATCTAGGCTGACATTTTAAGTTTTTAATTGAAAATTATAATTTATGATTTTAAAATGTTCTATTATTTTCCAATAGTTGTTATCTCCGTTGAGAAAATCAAAATAATACATGTATTTTTGTTTTCATCTGATCTTATAGAAAAAATACATAGTACATCTAAACTTATCTTGGTAATGGACAAGAAAGTTTGAAGATAAACATATCAAACTATAAATGGCAATATTTATGATAATTCCTATTTAATGTTTCTGTACACTTTTTATTATCTATATTTTTTATTACTTCACTAATACACATATTTCTACCTTAAAAGCTACAATACCAACTTTAAGCTTGTTCTTCTCTTACTAAAGTAACCAGAAATGGTCATTTTAAGTAATTTGCCAAGAAATCCTTATATTGCAATTATGTTGATAATACTAAGTTAAAATAAAAACACATTAAGTATTCCCCTTTTTGAAATAATGAAAAAAAATACTTCATATTTACTTTCCAATGAAGCCAGAAAAAATATCCAACACAATTTCAGGTACAACATGAGCATAACATTAAATGATAACGTTACAACATGTGATAACATGAGCATAACATTAAATTATAACATTACAACATGTGATAACATGAGCATAACATTAAATGATAACATTACAACATGTGATAACATGAACATAACATTAAATGATAACGTTACAACATGTGATAACATGAACATAACATTAAATGATAACGTTACAACATGTGATAACATGAACTAACATTAAATGATAACGTTACAACATGTGATAACATGAACTAACATTAAATGATAACGTTACAACATGTGATAACATGAACATAACATTAAATGATAAGTTACAACATGTGATAACATGAACATAACATTAAATGATAACGTTACAACATGTGATAACATGAACATAACATTAAATGATAACGTTACAACATGTGATAACATGAACATAACATTAAATGATAACATTAAAACATGTGATAACATCATGACTTGGATAATTTCAAAATGTACAAGCTTATAATAAATAAAGCAAATCCTGTAAATTAAATAATGCATGTGACTTGATTAATTTAACATACTTTCAACCTGTGTTTATGTATGTGCTAAAAACAGATTCACACCTATATGTCTGTTCAATGACCTCCGTTTCTTGTACTTACAAAACTAATAATAAAAATATTCAACTCTGAGACTTGAAAATTTTTTTGTTCAAGAGACACCTAAAAAAAATTTATATAATGTTAACAAACTACAAATTTTTGTATCAATTTCAGCTCCTTTGTTTACGAGAAATATTAACAAGCTTTAACTACATTACAAATCAGAAATATAATTGAATAAAGACTCTGCAAGCAAAAGTGAAAGATTTATCATTTATACCATATTTCAAAACATATAATGGAAGATTAAAAATTCAAAAAAACCTTCTACTTAACTTTAAGAGAAAAACTAATCATAAATGCATCAGAAACACAGCCTGAAATACAAAGCACCAAACTCTGTGTTAATGAAAATAATCAACAATAACTCATGCACACTTACACTTACACACACACACAGATATATATATATATATATATGCAGCTATACCGCAGAATACACAAATTTATATTTATTAGGCAGAGGTATACCTGACATTTTCCAAAAATTCTGGTAATTCTATCTCTTCTTTTCCAAAATAATTGGACAGATATTTTTGAAGATGTTCCAAATCTTTATTATCCTGAAGGTTTTCTGTTTCCAACTCTTTTTCAATTTGACTGGTCTGATTCTCATCTAAGGATTTTATCATCTTGTTTTCTAACAAAACAGCTGGTACTGCACACTTTTCCTTTTCAAGACTGCTGTTCTGACTTTTGTGAAAACATTTTTTCTCATTTTCTAATGCAGTATTTAATATTGCTATATCCTCCTTTCTAAGGCTGTTGTCATAATTTACCTGTAGGACTTCTGTCATCTTGTTTTCACATCTGTCATGAGGCACTCTCACCTCTTTTCTACAGTTATTGTTCTGAATTTCTTGGTGTTCTGTTTTACTTTCTAAAGTACCATCTAACGTCATCTCTTTCTGAACAAATTTGCTGTTCTGAAGCCATTTCGTAATTTTTTTTTCAAATCTATCATTTGATACTTCTTTACTAAGGTTGTTATTTTGACTTCCTTGAAAGTGTCTAATTTTTGTATTTTCTGAAGCATCATCTAACTTTACCTGTCCTTTTCCAAGTTTGCTGTTTTGACTTTCCTGCACATGTCCCTTTACTGTACTTCCCAACATATTAGATGGTACAACCACTTTTTCTTTAAAACTGCTGTTCCCAGTTTCTTGAAAGTGTTCTGTTTTTTTATTTTGTAGTGCACTAAATGATACCGGCACCTGTTCTTTTCCGAGGTTATTTCCACAATCCTTTTGAAAGTTTTCAATATCTTTATGGCCCAAATACTTATCTCTAAATTTTGTTCCAGTTGTAGTTGTGTCTTTGGAATGTAACAGATGCTGGCTAGACTGATTATTGACAGTGGTTACAAACTTTGTTGAGCAGTTGGTAGAGGTTTTCTTTTTTATAAGACTCAAGAGATTAAGCAGATCACTTTTTCCATGTGATTTCAAACTTTGACTGGCATAGCTAATATCAGAACTGACTGCTTGTTCAGAGGTTTCAGGTGTTTGTGTGTGTGACACGCTAATTTCTGACACTGATGATACACTCGGAAGTAGTGAGTTTGTCTGTTTAGACAACTGGACAGAATTGCAGGTGGGAGCTACATCTTTCTTATCAAACATTAGAGACTGTAGTTTAACTTTATGTGGCTGAGAATCTTTTAACTTCTGTGTTTCTTTTTTAACAGTCACAGAATTTAAACTGGACTGAGTTACAACAGATTCATGTAATTGAATAGTTTGTGCTGCCACTTGATTTCCAAGTTTGCCAGTTCGTAACTTACAAAGTAAATTTAAAGTTAGTTTTGCTTCTGGGCTAGATCTAAACTGTTCCTCTGTATTATGTACTGAAACATGGACAGTATTTTCTTCTGAATGTGTTGGACAAGACACAGCTGTCTGCAAGCTTGAAGATACAATTTCTTTTTCTTTCTTTTGTCTGCAGTCAGAAATTCCTGGTGAAGGAAGTCTAGTAGAAGATATAGTTTCTGATAGATCTGTTTTATTCATAACAGATGTACTAAGACCATCAAAGTCTTGATCAGAAATATCCGATCCACTTAAAGAATGTCTCGTTTGTCTTTTTTTTACATTCAGCAAAAGACTTTTGACACTGACTGATTTTTCACTTGCTGCTTTTACTGAAGTAAAATTCTGACTAGAATAATCACACTTAACCAGGTTAACATTAACATTGTTCTGAGAAGAAAGAACACCATTTATCATTTTGTAATGCTCGCCACTCTGAATGACAGAAGAGTCTCCTGATAACCCCTTGCTGTGATTTAAACTATTCAATGTCAAAGCATCACTTTCTGTATTAAGGGATGACTTCTGAGAGCCTGTTCTAGTAGCAATCTTTTCACTACTTTCAAGACTGGATTCCTCTGAATTCTTTGCAGACTGAAGAAGCATCTTAAGTCCACCTCGTAAATTTGCCTCTTCAGCTTTTGGAGGCATTCTGGCGATGCCTGGAAGATCTCTGTAACTTCTACCTGTTACTTTTAAATCTGGAGTCCTCCCACTTGACATGAGCGAAGCCTGTAAAATATATAACAAATTTTTACCAATGTATGTTTGATTATGTAACATAAAAGTTTATAATAAGTTTGGAAAAATAAAACTTCCTAATTGAATATCTTTCTTTCTCTAACACTGTTAACATGAGTCATTCTTAGTATATTCTTAAAGTGTATATTTTGCCTATCTTGATCAAGATTAAAATCTTTCAAATAATCAGTCACGTCTAAAAATCTATTTTTGTTGGTCTATTAATTTATTTCTAATTTACATTTCACTTTTAAAACACTTTCATACCACAACCAAATAATCCCAATTTCAGTAACTCAGCACCTTTTTGAGAAATGTGAATGAATAAACACATCATAAATCTTCAGCACATACAGGTTGCTGCCGGTGAATAAAACTATCAATTACTGCTAACTATCAACAGTTGCTAAAATGTAAGACATCATCCAACACCAGGTTTTCAATAATAAAGAAATGTAAATCCAAAATTTAATTGTCCAGTTACTTTCAAATTTCATAGAAAGATTAGTCTTCAGAACATTTAGAAAAAAAAAAAAAAGCAATTTAGTAAAACTAGAAAACTATAAGGAGGAAAAATGAATATGTAAACAGCATTTTCAATTCTTTGGCCAACCAGTTCAAATTTTGTATAATATACAAGATGTCCCAGAAGTTTAGACCCATAGGGAAAATACAGAATATACTTAAATTCTTTATTATTCAAATTGCATTCTAGTAACAGCCACACATATATCATTTCTTGGTATACTGTGCCATCAGGGTATTTTCTTTCCTGAAATATGTACAACTGACATTAGAAATGTGTTTAGCTTTATGAATATAATGTATATTTTCCTTATGGGTCCAGACTTCTGGGAGACCCAGTACATCTGCTAACTTATAGCATACTCATTCATTCATGACATACGTTAGTTGTAACTTCAGTCCGAAATGTAAAATGCAATAAACAATTAATAAAATGTTGTACAAAGAAGGTATTGCATAGCATTACAAAATGTTCATCACAGGCAACATTAATGCAACCAGAGGGAAAAAGCATTAGAAAAATTACAAAACCTTCTACATATAACTTAAAATGGTTGGACTTAATCAGCAAATTTATGTAGCTATCAAATTATACTCAATAAACATTCACTCAAAAAAGTGCTAATTTCAAACCTGTATTAAAATAGTACAGTCTTGTGCCGTTACAACTGATCTGTAATATTGGCTAGTAACATGAAGTTCAGTACTCTAGCAGAAGAAACTGCTACTGGTAAAAACGTGATTGAAAAGACTATTATTTCATAATTAAAACCAGTTTCATCTATGTATATTCAACATACTACAGGTTTTTAATCAGAAGTTTAAGCATACTGAAAGAATTTTGTTTGTTTGATGAACTTTGTGCAAAGTTATTCAAGCCACACCTGCACTAGCCATCAACACTACTCCATCATCAACTCTTCGGCTATTCTAATATAATAGTGACTGGACTGTCATTCTTATAATGCACTCACAGCTCTTAACTAAGAGGCACAATTTTGTTTTTGGTGGTAACAAGACACGAACTATGGATCCTCATATCCACAAGTCTAGCACATTTACCAATGGGCTGTGTTTGACCCATTAAAGATATGCATTGTGATTTTGACTACCACGGGTGCTATATATTTCTATAACTATACATTTATTGTAGCTACCTACAGAAAAGTTTGTTTAGTTGTATTTTAGAAAAACAATATACATCAATCATAAAATATATAATTCAGAATGTAAAGGCACAAGACAAACACACACACACACACACACACACACAAAAAAAAGAAATCCAAATAGTTTTATTACATTTTCAGCTTAGTTGAGTACACATATACTGATTAGTAAAATCTAAATTATTTCAAATGGCAAAATAAAAGTAGTGAAAAAATATTCCCCTTCAGAAATAACCTCATATAACAATCTTAACATTTACATACTAAAACAAATGATTCTTTATCAAACTAAATTATTACTCATTTTTGTAAACAAGATTTCATACATTAAATGCATACACCATGTGGTGGCAACCATAAAGCATACAACAGATTATCTGAAAAGGCAAAATTCTATAAGATATCGAAGTAAAACTGCAATTTTGGTGGCACTGTTAATTTGTGTATCTCATGAATATATTTCAATCAATCATTATGGATAAGCTAAAGATATTATTTCTTTCCACTTCAACTAACTCAATATGTGAAGGTCCAGTTGATGATAAAAAAAAAATGCTTACATATTTATTTTCATTACTTTTGAAAATCTCTTCTTTTTTTCCATCAGGAGAAACCTGAAATGAAGACATATTCTGTTTGGGTGGAGTTCGAAAGATGCCACGACCAATACAAGCCCTGGAATTAGGTGATCTATTGTTCCGATAGTTTACATAAGATTGTGGCTGTTGCTCAGTTCTAGATTGGCCTAACTTCGGAGAATTCAGACCAGCTTCGTCTTCTTCCTATAATATATCGATTCAAAATATTTTATTGCATGTAAACTCAAGGTCAAAGGTCAAGGACAACTGTAACCTTAACTTATATACACATGATACATAAATTTAACAGAACAAACTGACTGAAAAAGTGTCATGAGAATAGAATACTGAGATTAAACTAAAACTCAAGCAATAGAAAAGACACAGGCTAGTGTCCTAGTGACAAAGATGTCTTGTTTAATTGAATCTGTAATCAGTTGGTAAACAAATTGATTATTCTCACTTAACACTTGGATAGTTTGAATAAGGGAAAATAGTAATAATTGGAAACACTAATTTCAATTAGTTGATTATTTTTGGAAGTTGAGAAACTAACTGATTAAATTGAAGAACCTTGAATTAATTGAAAATAATGAGAAATCATAATGGCAATATTTTGATCGCTTGGATAATATGAGTGATTGAAAACAGTAATAATCAGAAACACTAATAATATACATATATTTCAAAGCAATCTTTCAATTTTTAACAAATATTTTAATATTATATTCAGCAAAGGCAGAATTTTTAATCTAATCTTAAAAAATGTCAACTTGTATACATATATGTGTGTGTGTGTGTGTGTGTGTGTGTGTGTGTAACAAACTTAAATTTTATAGCTACGTTTTTCTTTAAAATAGAAAAAGACCAATCAACACATGCTAGACAAAAAACTTTGATTACCTCAAATTTTCTCCTTTCACTAGGCTTCATTGCCTCATACTTCTTTTTTTGTGCAATATTTTTTTGATTTGCTTCAAAAAGAAGGTGTGAGTGACTGACAGACAAAGAGGACTCCATGTTCACACTTGTTGGTGGTATCACCTCTTCTTTTGACTTTGACATCACTGTTCAGAGAGATAGAGAAACATTTAAAACTTAGTTTGGGTGAACTTGTGTATTGATTTTATTTGTTATAACCTTATATTAATTTTCCATGTTACCGTAATCAATGTTATTTTTATTCCTAATGGACATGCATTAACTAATTAATCCTGCTCCTTACTTAGTGGCATCGTACTACTCTTTAATTTCTCATACATTTCACTCATAGAAAACTAATTAAACTTAAATATTAAAACTACACATAGATTTCTAGCTGGATTTCTTAAAATTTTACTGTTCTCAATCTGGCCACTTTTAATGACATATTTCATATTCATACATCTTTGTAAACTTTAAAGTACTAAAACTTTCATAAAAAATACTTAGATTTTACTTTTAATTTACATAACAATGTAACACAGTTTAAAATTCAAGATTAAGTTTCGTGTACAAACTTGTTAACTACCTAATCATAGCTTTTGAAACCAAACAAACCTTTTTGAACTTCTTCTTCTGAATACCAGGCATAGTTCTGATTAAGTAGTTCCTCATTTAGACAAACTGTTTCACCACCAATAGAAAAAAAAAGCTGACCATAGATGTTGCCCTCCTCATCTTGATGAGCAACTTCAGTCCACGTGTTTCCAGACTCTTGATACATATCAAATAAGCTGCCTTTATTAGGTTTATTATAGCCCAAGTTAATATATATTAATTGCCCTATGATAATATAAAACAAGAACTGAACACCAAGTACTATATAAAAAAATTGTCATTTTTAATGACCAATACAAACTACTGGATAATTAAATACAAAAGTGTTCACATTTTTGAGACTATGAAATAAATACTTTAAAATTAGAAACTTAATAAGTCACAAATCCAATTTCTCTTTCAAGCATGTTTGTTACAATAAATTAAAAACAAACAGTAAGTTCAACAAACAATTAAGTGATATTATACTTACTTGTTTCAGAATATCATTTTGATATTTATAATTTCACACACTGAAGATAAACACACAGTCAATAAGATAATGAAAGCATTTTCTTAAGACATACATGCCATCAAATAGTAAATGAACCTACAAAAGAATAACTATTCTTTCAGTTTATAAGTAAAACAGCAAGTGAATTTATAAATGATATACTATTGAATCATTCAATTTCTACCCAAGATAAGTTCAAAATAAACTTACGGTTTACAAGTTTCTGTACAAATTCAAAGGCAGCAGTATCCCATTTCTTGCTTGGACTACAAGTTATAATTCATAAGGTTTTAATGTAAAATAGTCATAATAAAAAGCTAATATACTAGTGCTTTTATCATTAGTCATTTAACTATTAAATTATAACATTACTTACTTTTGAGAAAGAAAAGCTAATTACATATAATTATCCTACATTGATCAAAAACAAGTCAAAAAAGGTTTAAATTATAATTCGCTACAATCTACTCAACTTAGATAGTTAGGAAAATATTTTAAACTGTAAAACCGGCAACCAACTACATTCTCAGATCTACCAAAAATATATATTAAAACATTACTTGAGTACCCACTGTAGAGTAAATTTGAAGAAATTTGTCAAAAATTCATAAATAACAAGTAGAAAGCTAATTTAAATTGAATGAAAAATAAATAAAAGTACCATATAAAATATATGAAATGGTAAGTAAAAATATAAATTACTTTTTGTTAGCTTTCGACTAGAGAATTATTCATAAATAAAATTAGAAAAAAAAAAGAAAAACGCATTTAGGAATAAGTAAGAAACATAATCACACTCAAATGTTTGATACTATATAGGTATAATTATACATAGCAGAAGAAATCAATTTAGCTATATGAAATGAAACATTGGGATTTTGTAGTAAAAATATTGTAATGAAGATCTGTGAATGTTTTTTTTCCAATAAATCCCCCAAGTGTTTTTAATCTGAGACAAATACGTTTCTGCTCAATTTTATCATGTTATTGCCCTTTGAACCATCTCTAACATAAATCTGCTACACAAATTACCTAGCTCACGTGAAGAATTTTTTATTATTTTTTCATTATCTTACCTAATCTAACAAGTTTCTAATTTTTACATTTTAGTTACTTATATAATAATAAAAAATATATATAAGGAGAACCAGAAATACAGAACACACCTTTGAACTTGTTGTCAGTTGTTGATGAAATTTAAGCCTATTTTTCTTTTCTTTTTTATAATGATGTTACTATTACACTAAATTTTCATTTATTTAAATAATGCACCTAAGAACACAGAATAATTACACTCACAAAGCAAACAATATCTTATAACTATTATAATTTAACTGGATTTCTAAATAAGACAAGAGGGGGGGGGGACTTAAAATAATTCTCTCAGCTACTCAACCCCAACACTTCAAGATAAACTTTCAAACCAAAGACAAAATTGACAATACTCTGTACAAAAAACAACATAGCATTATGTGTCATGTGATAAACTAAAAATTTGCCTTTCTATTGGTTATAAATGATATAATATAAAACATTAGAAAAAATTACTGGCAATTTGTAAAAGAGAAGACAAGTGGGCATGGCAAGTCTGATTTTCTAGTCTGACTCCATAAACAAAGAAGATTGAAGATTATAAGAATTATCCTTAGTAATATGTACATTACAGTGAGTAGTTTACAATAAATTTCATAATCCAGATAGGAGTGGTAAATAAATTAAAGAAGGGGAAGACCCAGAGAATAAATCTCACGATTAAAGATTTATTGAAATTTTTTTGTAAAAGTATGAAATTATAACTTTTATAACATCAAAATTTGATTTATTAACTACATTTTGATGCCAAGTTTATCCATATACATTATTAATAAAGTAGTTTAATTAAATCTTGAATGTAACTCTATAAAAGGTTGTGACATGTTCACGTTGACCTACCTTCAGCGAGAGGATAAAAGGTTTACACGAATACATTCTACATTCTATGACTTAGAAAACTTAATTCCTAGTTTTTACCAAAATACTACAAAAAATTTATAGGTGAAACTGTTTTTACATTATTCTTTTACACAGTCTGATCTAGTTATTCAATCATCGCAATGTAAAAACATTGATAATAAAAAAAAACTTTAACATTTACTGATTTCTTTTATAATATGATTTCATGAATCATTAGAAGAAAGGATAGTTGAATAAAATTTCTGTTTTTAAGTAAACTGTACTGAAAATGTTAAACTTGCCCGTGAGTCACTGTTACACCATCTAGCAATGTCATGCTTTTCGGCTTCAAACCAAGGAGAAAACAATTGACAGCTTGAAATGGGATATCAAATACAGTTTCTGAAGTGTACTGAACCCTGATGAGAAATACAGAAAAAAAGCAGCTGATATTTAGGGTATCAAGAATGATCTTTCTAAAAGACAAAATGAAATCAAAAGAACAATGTTTAAAGATAATATTAATGACACTATATAGATATATTACTGCACCTATGAAATAACATTAATTTTTAACAGTACTCAATGTCAATAACTAATACTAAAATGAAAAAAAATCAACTTATTTCTGTTTACCAAATGCATTCTTAATCAAAACAAAAAATAAACATTGATACAACGTAGAAACATTTACAGCAACACAAATTTAGTTTTTACACACACACAAGTTTACCTAATCAAAAACTGTAAAAATAACAATTTGACTACTTAAGTCAAATTTCAACACTCACCAGTGTCTTTCTACAAGGATAGTGTAGCCATAATCAACAAGGTATGCACTGTAAGTTAAAAATAATAATCTTATTTTAACACATGAAAAAACATTATTTAATATACTGCTTAAATTAATTAACCGATAATCTATACTCTAGATATGACAGTACAACTACTCTTGTTAAATAATGTCAGTAGTACGTCTGAGTACATTTTTATACAAAACAAGAGCAAGTGATCTGTGATGCACATTCTCAGTTCATAGTTCGAATAACAACAAAGTATATAAAAACATCAAGACTTCAATGACACATGCCAGGACCCCAACATAGATATTTCCATGATATTGACAAGATTAATAGTGACACATGCCAGGACCCCAACATAGATATTTCCATGATATTAACAAGATTAATAGTGACACATGCCAGGACCCCAACATAGATATTTCCATGATATTAACAAGATTAATAGTGACACATGCCAGGACCCCAACATAGATATTTCCATGATATTAACAAGATTAACAGTGAAATATTCCAGGACCCCAACATAGATATTTCCATGATATTAACAAGATAAACAGTGAAATATTGTATAGAAATAATTGCCTATTTTACCTCTTTTGACTTGTAATTAACATGTCTATAAGTACATGCTAAAATCCCATTAGCTTTCCTACTTGCAGTACAGCAATGCCTCAATAGTTTGAATGACTTATACACTACTATGTCAAGATTCTTTTTTTTTTGTAATGAGGTTTAGTGTGTTCCCATTTATATTAAACATGTGATCATATTACAACAACCCAAGCTCATTACTTTACATTTATTATAATTAAGGATTGTTTCCAAATATTTATCTAGCTTACCAATTAATCCAAGTCATTCTGTAATATCAAACAGTTTAATACCAAAATCAAACTTTTATTAACTTACAAACTATAGCCCCATCAATATCATTACTATTAATAAGAAACCGCACTGACACCTCTGAGGCACACCAGTAATAAAAATGGTCCAATCTTACTGGATTACTTTGACTTATTTCCATCCAACAAACCAATTAACTTATTTTTCCCCAGCCTTTACCAATGGCATTTTTTTTAGCTTATCTCCAGTATGGTACCTTATAAAAAACTTTCTGAAAATCATAATTACACCAAGTTCATAACCATTCCGTCATCCAGATAACAAGTAACATCTACACATTCACACACACACACACACACACACAAAATAAAAAGATGAGTAAGGGAAGACTTCCATTTGATGAATCCATGTTGCCTTTCTTTTATAACATTATAGTTTACTAAGCCTTGAATCACGTGGTTCGTGAGTCAATGAAGAAAACAGCTGGCTGTAAGACTTGATGTGAATTACATTTTAAATATTCAAGGTAGACATGTTCCTTACAGAAAGAAAAAGGGTGGATGCAAGTAAGAAACCAGAGTATATAAGGGGTATAAGGGATAATTAATGAAAAGCACTATAAAATTAAGAAATTTAAACTGATTGCCATGATGGGAGACTTTGAGAATTATAGAAGATCAGGAGCATTGGTCAAACAAGAATTCGGGAAATCAAAATCGTTATATGAATAAAAGATTGGCTGAAAACATAAAAATTAACAGTAAGGATTTCTTTAAATACATTAAAGGTAAGCAAAACGTTAGGATGGAAATAAAGCCTTTGACAGATGATAAAGGAAGGCTCATAACTGATGATTATGAGACAGCTGGATTATTAAATTTTACTTTTCAATTGTCCTAAACAGTTGCTAGATAGTTTGTTTTGTTTGTTTTTGAATTTTCGTAGTTACAACATTCCTTAACACAGTAAGCTATCTGTATCAACAAAATAACATCCATTACATGAGGTTATTCTTTCACTCAATGACAGCCAAACAAATTGCTAAGCTGAAAATCAAAAGGTTTAAGGTTCACACATTATTAGCTTATGCTTTTAAATCCTGTGTTTTTGTTCATTTGCTGGGTTGCTATGAAAAGTTTTATTTTTGCACAAAACACCAAGGACCATGATGGTGTCTGAGAAATAATTGTGTATATACTTCTAAAAGAATTTGTAAAATAAAATAATTCTGTAACACACAGATTAATAAATTACAAATTGCAAATACATGAATGTGTCTGTGTGTGTGTGTGTGAATTTGTTTTGTTTTAACTTTATTCATTTATCCTAATCTCTAGGAATAATATACACTTAATGTGCTTCAATTCCTCCCAGCAAAGAACCCAAGCAGTTACATCTACAGTTAGTATACTAATGACAAATAAACTGAATGTATATTATCTGTTTTAATGTGTAATGAATTGGTAGATTATGTTTGTTTGTTAGATGACAAAGGACACATAAATATCTAACTTACCAAAGTCAGAGTTCTGATTATGTGAAATACTTAATGCCATACAAAGGGCATCTGGAAGCAATAAAAAGAAAGGAGAAAAAAATTCTCCATCAAAGTGATTGAGGTTGCAGCATGACAACTGGTAGAAGATGAAAACTCTTGAAGAGGTGTAGAGTGAGAAAGACCAAAATCAGAAGGTACCAGAAAAAGAGTCTAAACTGTCTTCTCATTAATAGTATTCTTGCTCGGAAACATTGTCACATTGAAAAGAAGAAGAAATCACTGCCCGTACATATGAATCTAGCTCCCTGCAAATTAAGGCCTGTACCTCCTCTGCAGATAAAGTCTAATCCGATTTCTGGGAAGTAATACTAGTGGCATTTTTGACTGAAACGGGGATTTCCATAGTCGATACATTTTTCTCTTATAATTCAGTAACAAGAAATAAATGCAAAAAAAAAAATAACTGTTGGAACAAGTGACTGCAAACACAGTAAAATAAAACTGTTGAAAAGAAAAATTGAAATAGGAAAGAAGCACGTTCATAAACTGTACCCACATATGAAAAAGCACACGTCTAAATAATGTTGTGAGGACTGAGATAGTGAGGACTGATCGAGAATAGTAGAGGGAGCTAGCTGCATCAATATAGGTGGCACAATAATACTGGTGGATAGTAGTCGCATGATACGTACATGTTCAGAAATGGCACAAAATTGATGGGGTATATAGACTGGTGCACCAATCATGAAAATCTTTTAGTAATGTTTAGAGGAGAGAAGAAGATCAAGATAGCTTTGTGTGAACAGTGGTAAGATTGTATCGGAACATAAAAGTTCTAAATTCAACAAGCACTTACTAGAAAAAGATTCACTCTTGAAATTTTTATTCGTTACTCAATGGATGAAATAATGGAAAAATATCTAATGAAAATTATATCTCTTTACTTGATTTTATTAAACAATGTATAATTTCCAAAATAGTATTATATGAATGACTAAAAATAACTTGTAACATTACACCAAGTATGAAATATATTTACCATTAGACAACTTATCAAAAAAAAAACCTTGCATTATAAGATATATTAATAAAGAGAATTTTAAGTAATTTATATAACATATATTATTACAATCTTTTTTCATACCTTTTTAACAAAATCATCAAATGGAGCATTATCTACTGAAAGAATTGGTCTTGGAATATGGTGACCATGACAAATAGCTCTTACACAAGGTTGTTTTCTTTTCATTGTAATACTAGGGCAATTCTGAAAGAATTATATTATAAAAACACAAATGAATAGCTCTGGTTAACTCAAAGAATAAAATGCCAAGTACTTCTCCCTTTCTTTGATTCTACATTCATACAGTTAACAAAAATATTTAATAAAAAAGATAAACAAGAGTCAAATTAATATCAAATATTTTTTCTCGTTATCAACTTTGCAATATATAAAAATATACCATACTACTTAAGTATAAACTTTAGATCTTGCTTGTTTTTTCACAAAATGAATAAAATTAAATATATGCCGACTAAAATTTAATTTATTTGGTACTTTATTTCAAACATTAAACATTATTTTTTAATAATATTTGGGAAACACGGGTTTAGGTAAACATATAGGTTTAATTTATAGATACGTTATTTAGAATTATATATTCAGAAACACAAATTTATCCAATAACTTGGATCCCAAATGTAAACTATCAAGAATACTATTTATACGGTTTTCAAATTACCATTGTGTGAACCATGGTGAAAGAATTACATGCTTTAAATAAACTAAATTAATCAAAAGTCTTTGTTCTTTGATAGTTTATTTAGGCAGAAAATTCATGATGAGTATATTGGAATGGACAGTAGCTGCCTGTTGTAAAAACACAGTTGCTGTCCATTTCAGTATACTCAAAAGTCTTCATATCTTAGACCAGTAGCTCCCACCCTTCTTCCAACCGAGGACCAGCTATTTCTGATCCAAAAATGTTACAGATCACTTCATACAATATTAATTTTTAAAGCACTTTTAAGTTATATTGTAAAACAATATACTTCAGCAGCTATATTTTAAAACACATATTTTTGTTTCAACATCTTGCAGACAGGCTGAAATTTCCCTATGGACCAACAATTGAGGGCCACTAACTTAAACTGTTTTATCCGTTAGTAAAAACATGACCCAAACCTTGCATTTGATTTTCTCTTAATTACACGAGTTTAGATTTTGAAAACTAAAAATACAGATTAGTTTTGAGAAGAGTGAATGATACAAATATATATCAATCAGTTGCTTGTAATATACCAAGATTTTCTGTTATTTATGTTTAACAGTAACCACAAACCATGACAACTTCAGGCTTCACACAGAAACAAATTAAATTACAGAAATTTTGCAGGATAAAACTGTTAAAAAAAACTTTTGGTGTAATTATGACTAATTCTCTCTCTTTTACAATTTCTATATGACAATTATAAATACAAAACATATGCAAAATATTTTGTTTGAATTTTGTAAATATAAGATTCTTTGAAATCTACTCACAAGTTTTCTGCTGAGGTAATCATCTTTTTCAAGTTTTGTATAACATGGTGTCATCTCTGGAGGAAGAATATCAAATTTTTCATTTTTCACTTCTCTGAAAAAAATGAAATTTGGGCATTTGATTTATTTAATAAAGCAGCATGATTGAAACCC